GTGTGTGTGTGTGTGTGTCAGTATTTTGGAGGACTCCTGACTTTGAAGATCTGTTTGAGGCTGGTGTCCGAGGGTGTTGGCAGGCACAACATGCTGAAGTGGCGAATAAATCTGGGGGACACAGGATTTCGCCCCCCTCCTGGAGGAGCACATGCTGCTGTAATGGTCATTTCCTGAGAAGAAAAAGACAGAATAAAGGGACTACTAAACAGCTGATAAAACGCTAGTATGTTACTTTTTCCTGACATGTCACCATTGACAATAAAATGTTCCATTTAAGAAGAGGGGATCCTTGTTTGGGGCATTTAAGGACAGTACAGAAATGTTCTAAAATCAGTTGTGCCTGTGTGTATATGTGTGTTTGTATAGCACAAGTTAAGGTAGTAAACATTCTATGGATGATGCACTGATCAGAGACCACTTTTAATTTCGTTGTACCTGCGACGATGACAATAAATACTCACTCAAATGAGCAATCCTATTTATCCATATTGTATATTCTGTATCTATACATGTGTATATGTGTATATATGGTTTATTTATGCTTATATCCTTACTCTCATTCCCCTTAATGTATCTGTAACATGCAACTTCTTTCGGTGCTTTGCTACTGGAAACTGAATTTCCCGGAGGAACCCACCCGAGGGATTAATAAAGTTTCATCTAATCTAATCAAATCTAAAGACATTCTGATTCTGATTCTCATTCTATAAATGGCGAGTAAAAAAGCTAACAAATAGCCCACAAGATGACTGGGTTTCCTACATCAAAGGATTTAGTATTCATTAAAAACACCAAACAGAACAAATGAGGTTTTTAACTGTGCTCAAAAACTGAACACGGGGAAAACATCCACAGTAGTTCAGACTAGAATGATTTTGTCTTTACTTGTAGGCAATATTTATGGGAATGTAGAATGTACAGACACTAAAAACAAAAGGTTAAGACTTATGAGCAATTAACTTATAGCTAGTCTAGAACAGCTGTGCTAGTGGAACTGTCCTACCCTTGTTTTAGATACGTGCTTGTACTTATAGGAAACATGCCCCATAATCTTTCTAAAATCTGAAAATTTGAAAATGCTCCTTCTTGTGGTTTTGTTTTTAAACTGCTTGGAAAAGTCTAAAATAGATAACCTCAACTGCAACCATAGTCTCACATATGCACACGCACATTTATATTTTAATGTCTCATTACAGTGTAGCTCATCTTATTTGCATACCTGGATCTCCTTCCAGAAGAACTTGTTTCTGTCATAAAACCCAGAAAAGTCCTGGAACTGACGCAGGAGTTCTATAGGAGGCTGAGATCCATAACTGTCCAGCTTAGGCATATTCAAGTCATCCACAAAGACCACCAACTTCTTGTTTCCTGGAGGACCTACATGGAGAGAAAAATAATAAATATTCAAGAAGAAAAAAGTAAATGTGTAAGCACTATTGGATGAATGGCCAGGCAGTAGATGTGTAGATGAATAGTGGAAGCAACTGTTAAACTAATGGAAAGGAAGCGACTCTATGGTTGTGTTAAGCAGCTCCAGAACAATTTGGGAATGTGCTGAAGAAAGGCCTCTTAATGTGTTATCTGTAAGTTAGACCCTGAAGACATGTCATTGACAAGCATGGACCTATAATTCAAACAATAAGATGGTAGCTTTTGTCTGAAAAACTTCATCAGTTGGAGTTTCTCAAAGGATTTCCTTTCAGCTACATTGCTGTCCAGATGGTGCAAACAATTGTAACAAATGCATATGACAGTCTGACACAACATGTATGGTTCTTGGGTTTGCTTTTATGTTGTCATTGCCAAACTTGCTCTTTTACCTAAAATGTTCTTTCTCTTTTTCTCCAGTTTGGACTCAATGATCTCCTGTGTACGGGCAGAGGAGGTCTGAGCAGAGAAGTTGATGAAGACAGGAAGATATCCTGCACTTTCCTGGATCCTGTTAAGAAGGCCCCGGGCCACCACAGTCTGCAAGAACATGTTCATCAATTACTTTCACATATAAATTTTGATATCTGCATTCCTTTCTAAATTGCAACACCAAAATATTACCTTTGCTTTAGCACCATGGATATTTTGGATATGAAACTATAACTAAGCATTGCTGCAGACTCGTGCTATTTCCCCTCTAAAACTCCTCAGCATTTTATTAATACGTCACCATCATAATAAGTAATTTAGTGGAAACTGCCAGATCCATCAGTACACACAGTCATTCAGGTGAATGAAATAAACAGTGGCACTAATATATACAATTAACCTTCTACATATGTCATGACAAAAGCATGGGAATGTTTGTTCCACAAATCACACAGAACCAAATCTCAACAAAATATGACATGTATGTGCAGCGTTCTGTCCAAAGCTAAGTGTGGCTGTAGCAAGGCATCTGCAACACATGCAGTGGGTCTTTGTTTATGAAGTGCAAAAAGGAGTCTGAAGTATCCTAGACGTATGTGCTTTTTTTCAGCTGTTCTTTTTGCTTCATCAAGTATGCCCTGGGGCGCCTCTGTCAGTGCGCCCCAGGGCGGCTGTGGCTACACTGTAGCTTGCCATCACCAGTGTGTGAATGTGTGTGTGAATGGGTGGATGATTGTGTATAGTGTAAAGCGCTTTGGGGTCCTTAGGACCAAGTAAAAGCGCTATACAAATACAGACCATTTACCATTTTACCATTTAATATCAGAAAAGCTTTGGATTTATAAAATGTACCCTTTGTCATCCGTTTATTATCTGTTCTAAGATTCTTTACCTTTCCCACTCCCGTGTCACCAGTGAAGAGTACAGAACGGCGCACGGATAGCAGTTTCTCCATCAGATATCCATAGCGAACAGTGTCTGTAGTGGGAACCAGCATCTCAAAAAAAGGTTGTTCCCTATTATATTTAAATGAAGGGATTATAGCTGTCCATAACTGCAGATCCCTGTGATTAAAATTCATGTAGACACTCCACAAGGTACCACACGTCGGGAGCTACAAAACACACAAATGTAAAAAACTTACTACAAAATTATTAGGTGTCTTATTAAGTATCAGCCCAAATGCCATTAGCTAGAAAGAACATTAAATCATTAATGTTCAGTTTCACTCACATTGTTTAATAGCTTTGGTAACAGCAGTTTTGGTGAAGTGTTGCTTTGTACAATTCTTTGTGTGGATGTGAGTGCCTATGTGTGTTAAGTTCAAATTACGGTTTCACATCTGGAATTCTTAATACACTTTTCCTTCCAGTCAATGCTCCATTAACATAGTTTGATACGGCACTCTGTGAACAGCTTAAATTATTCCACTTTATATACATTGAATACAAGTGTATGAATTTTGACCGATTTGAATAAACTGCCCAGTTTTGTTCTATAATAAATAAATAATTTAGATTGCATTATCCTCACAGCTCATCAATTTCTGTAGGTGTGGTGGTCACAGCTGCATACCTTTGCATTTTTGTTGCCTTCAAATTGCTCTCTGATGAAGGTATCAAAAGCATCCCAGTAAGAACTAGTCAGATTGCCACCTATGGCCCATAGATAACAAAATATGAAGGTCTGACATAGTACACCATCAAGGTGCTTGGGATTCTGCCACCACAAAAAGAAGACATATCAATAAGTAAGAACATGGGTGAGTAAGTCAATAATTCTACAAGAAGCATGTATATAACTTATGGCTTTGTCTTGTCGAACAGAAGTAGCACACTCTCATCTTTAACGCATTGCTGGTTTAACCAAAGTTGCTGCCTGTACATTTTTTGCTTTTCCTTTGTGGAAAAAAAGTAACTTTTTTTATTTCATTGTCAAGTTTGCAAAATTGTTGTTTGAACTAAATGACTGATTCTTTTGATGCATCCTACAAAAAAAGGACTAAACATGACAGCTACATTTTGTGTTAAATGTACCATCTTGAGGTCTGGTCCTCCGTTACCCAGCAGAAGAGCCTCCAGCAAGGAGCACAGAGTGCTGACTTTACTGATGTCCACTTGGCGAATTGCTTGGACACAATGCTTGGACGCAAATTGTAGACCTTTCTCCACGTACTGCTTGAACATCTCCATCAGGTATGCACCCACTGGGTCTGGAAGCTGGAGAGACAGGAGAAAGTTAAATGAGGTTTACAGAGAAGCTTGTAGCAGGATATTAAGTGTATGCAGAGTCATGCATTTACATTATCTACACAATTTATAAAGTAACCTTGCTAGTTTGGCTTAGACTCCCTAGTAATAGTCTTCTTAATGCCCAGAGGTAGGACTGACATCAAGAGGGAAGAACTATGCACTGCAAAAAAACAACAATTTGACTACAATGTAAAAATTAACCTATAGGGGTAAAAAATAAAAATACATTTAAATTTAAATGCATTTCTCCACAGGGAATTAGTTTTAGGTGATCTAACTTTATATACAATATGTTGCATCTGTTACTAGTTATAATGGCTATATGACTGCAGTAGTCAGCAATCAAGAGATATCTTCATATCAGTATAAGTCCAGAGGGTTTACAACAAGGTGCAACACCTGGTTACACTGAAGGACAGGAAGAACAGAATGGATTTTGTCTAAAAATCCCATAAAGGAGGCTGCGCAGTTCCATGGAGAAGCAAAGGAGCAGCTGTCAAAATACTTAAGATCCTATCTGTATAATATAAGAGAAATCTAGAATTTGGAGATATAACATGCACATACCCTGTCCCCTAGCCCAGTAATCCATGTCTGCACGTAGGGCATCCACTTGAGCTCATCAGGATCAACATAAACCATTCCACAGCGACTTACTGTGGCTGGAGATGCCACAGCCAAGTCCTGAACCTGCAAATACACATTATGAAGACGACTTAAGATTTACAAGCTCCTATTATAAGAGAGTCCATTATAATCCAGCTTCATATTCTTAGTAAAGCATTAAATGTTTATTCTTGAGCTCATGTTTAAGACCCTGCAAATTAATTTATAATCCAATTTACTGTCAACAAAAATGATCCAGTTCCACTTTCACTCTGTTTGGCTCTAACCTCAAACACCATGTGTATGGATGGAGTAAGTTTGATTCGCTCGCTGTTGGCCAAACAGAGCATCTTGTTGTCATCCAATACAGTGTTCATGTTCTCGATCCAAAGGGCATCAACTGGTCCATCACAGATAACCCACTTGTGGTCATCACTAGTGTCACTGACTGCGTCACGGACACTCAGTGCCATCAGTCCATCACGCCACTCCAATGTCAAAGTATTAATCTGAGAGGTTGACACAAAAGTTAAATAAATAATTGCAGTGAGAGAAAAGGAAATACTGCTGATGTCAGATTTATTCTCCTGTGTGCTGTACCTCTCCATAGAGCTCTCCCATTGAGACAGATTTTGGATTGAGCACATAGGTCTTGACAGGCTGATAGAAGGGGTTGACAGCCTGGTGTCCTTTGAGATGAAGGGTCTCCAGAGTGTCTGCCAGGATGGTGTAGACAGTGGTCTTACCTCCACCACTTGGTCCAACCAACATAACTCCATGGCGAACTAACATGGTCTCATAAAGCTGGATCACCTAATAGGAAGATAAGAGGAACAGGCTTTTTAAATACTCAAAATATTTCTGATCTTTTAAAAAGATTTACGTCTGCAGCTGGAATTAACCCCTTAGCAGTCCAATTAGTCCCCTAAACCATCCAATGTACCGTGGGCGGTACGTCCGACTGCTAACAGGTTAACTGAGCTGAAGTGTCTGTCTTGGAATATTTTCCACTTGAACTCTACCTTCTTAGTCATGCTATCCAACGGTTGAAGGTTTCGCTTAACCAGAGACTCCACAATGGTTGAGTGTAGCACACCATAGTCATGTTCAGGGATACAAACACCAGGAAACAGGTCTGACAGGATACCACTGGAAAGGAATGGAAGATTGCCATGAACATAAACATACAGATATATATATAAAAAAAGAAAGAAGAGGCACCATACAAACTCTTACTTTTAGAACTTAATGTTCTTACTGTTATTGTGCAGTTTAACAAGAAATAACAAAGCTACTTCAGTTATTGCTCCCTTATTCACCACGGTGGGTAGCTCCACATGTTTAATTTGGCAGAGGACACAACCCCAAAAGGATTTGTGTCTGCGCCCAGGGTTGTAATAAGGATCTTTCGCAGCCAAATGTATAAATCCCTATGCTGCAGAGCAAGAAACAGTCCCTTACAATGTCAGATAGACTTACCCAAACAGCACGGCATCATCAGTGAGGAACTTTGGCAGGTTGGAGTCTCTCAGTGCTCTAATTAGAACCACATCCTCACTAAGGTGAGGGTTCTCTCTCTTCAGTGACCTATGAGCAAACATTAAAAATTATATGGATTTCTTTGTGACCTAAACATTTTTTTAAATTTAATATTGCAGAGTCACTCCAGGATTTCAAATAATTGCTATACAATGAAAATAGTTATGTGTTAGTAATGGGCATCCTAAAATCTGTCTTTTATCTTCATATTGGTCATATTCACAAAAAATTGATAAAATATAAAAGGAAACCTGCATGGTTAAAGAACCAGTATGAGCATCTCTTCTAAAATAGTTCATTTAAATAGTTGTAATTACAAAAATGTGTCATTTCTTTGTCTCTTCATGTGTTTCAAACACTTCGTTATGACAAGCATCAAATAAATAAAATAAATGTAAATTATTTTTTTCAGAGAGGAACTAGAGTTTAAATGAGGAAGTGCTGGGAGCTCTTAATTGCCCCTTGGGGATAAATAAAGTCTGATTCTGATCCTAAGCTCTTAGCCTCTAATCTGAGTAATCACCAGTATCACCAGTTTCACTGGTCTTATTGTGGACAGCAGCACTTTGTCTTGAAAAGCAAATTATCTACTTAAAATGTGAAACATGTCACAGTAAACATAATGTACATGTAGCTTCAGAATACACAAAATGGTAAATGCTAAACATATCCATGTATATGTGTGTGAGACTATTTAAAATCACAGCAGTCACAGAAAGACATTTCAGAGAAGATGGTTGTCTGCCCTGATTATTCAGTGCATATGTGTCCGTGTAATGCTCTGACCCTGCCATGACCAGGACAGATTTGACAGCTCTCATCCCAAAGTCATAGTGGTCCTGCTGGGACAGTTGCTCTGAGCACAGCTTGTACATCTGGGTCATCTTCCTTGCGAGGGTTTTACTAGACTCAAATCCTTCTGAGTACAAAATCACCTGGAGGGAGAACAGAGAAACAAATGCAGCTGAGCTTAAGTCAATAAAAGAGGGAAAATGATAGCTTATTCTGTGGAGAAATATCAGAGAATTTAGAATAAGACACATAAACACACAAACTGGAAGTTACCTCTGCAATAAGAGCATAGTTTGGAACCATCATTGCTATTGGTCTAAAGAGAGCTTTAAGGTTGTCGGGTAATTCTGTTCTTCCAGCATAGCCTGGGTTCATAGTGATGAATGCAGCACATGTCATCATCAGCTTGATCTCCCGGCCCTCAAATAGAAACCTTGACAGCTACATAACAAAGATAAAAGAGACACTCTTGTTAGTAAAAGGTCAACTTTATTATCTTAAACTATATACTCACTATGGATAAAGTGAAATATCCATCCATCCATCCATCCATCCATCCATCCATCCATCCATCCATCCATACATCCATCCATACATCCATCCATCCATTTTTCTTAAGCATAATCAAATAAGGCTTTACAATACAGAAATGTATTTCTGTATTTCTTTAAGATGTCCACTTCCTGGTTAAATAAGGGTTAAAAAAAGTGTGAGTGCAGTCTTTTGTATCTTCCTCTTGACAACACCCCATCTACTGTAATACCCATGGCTATTCAAGGAGAGTTATAATATGGCCAGCAATCCATCTGCTAGTAAGTTTGGCACCGCAATTAATAATGGCAGGTAATTATTTCTACTGGAAAAAGAAATTGGCACCTCCATACAGCTTGTCAGCAGTTGGTGAAATACTCTAAAATCTGACTTTGGCCTTTATAAAACACAGTGGACCAACTATCACCACCACCCAAAATCAGTGGAGGAAATGGTGGTAAAAATGGACGTGATCATACACTCGGTGTCTTCAACCTGGTGGCAATTCAAATTTGAGTAACTTACAACAAACTTGAAATTAAATTAAACTTTTACTAATTTGTATTTTGTAAACCAAAAGCCAGAAATATCAAAACAACAAATTAGACTTGAAATATTTAACTT